TTATTGAGAATATAGGGGGAGTATTTAATACTTTACAGTAGGCTGCTTTAATTAGGTAAAAAATGAAGATTAGACTTTACATAATCCATAGCCTATTCTGGCTTATGTCTGCTATCGGTCAGATGAGTTTTGGTGCCCCGGAAATAGTGAGGAGTTGAGTTGAGACCAGCTTGATTTGTTCACCGAGTTTGGCGATAAGCTTGCAAAGATTTCGTCACGAATCGAGGGGACATATCAGTGCGCGGTTGAGTGGGTGCAAGCTGATCGCCATGCTTGGCGAACAGATCAACAGCCACTTAATTAACTACCAGTGAATGCGCACGAGCTGCCAGTATTCCGGTACATTTCTAGCAGTTGAGTAACGTGGTATGACCTGATACAATACCTGACTATCTCTGGTAGGAGTGACTCTATGGTTGTGACCAACCGAACCGGGCTTTTTTATTCCAACGGCTAACCAGACAGGTTGAGGCCTGTCATTCAGCTCGACACTCACCATGTGTACAGAAAGGTGCTATGGCATAAACCAAGAAGTAAAATAAGTGGGATCCACAAATTCACTTCATGCTACTAACATGAGAATTCTTAAAATAGGCAAGAAGTGAAAACAGCTAAATACCCTGAATGAGTTGCAGGGTGTTAGAGCATTCTTGTCGTCAAGAAGGTTAGAAGCCATTCGCTTCAACAGAAGATTCGCTTCTCACTCAGCACATCCTCTGTCCAAGGTCCCGCGAAAAAAATACAAAGGACAAAGTGCTTTTTATAAGCATCAAAACAGTTTGTTTCTTCCAGTCTCCGTCTTCTGTGGCATCTGGTACTTATGGTGCCGAATGTTGTAACCGTTTCAGTATCTTATTTGTCTCTTCTCCTCCAACAGAGAGTTCCAAGGAAATTAAGCATTCATATTTTGGTAACTTTGGTATTCAACTAAAGAGTCGCCAGCGACTGTGTATTCGTTCACCGGGATACACAAAGTTATTGTGGCATGAATTCAAGTTCCTCAACTCGGAGTTGGGTAGCTACGGCACACTGCGACTTTTCCTTCATCACGATTATTCTCACTGACAATTTTCTCCAGAGGAATCTTCCTGTTTTGATCACTAAGCTGTTTCTTACCAAAAAGTGATTTGGGAACCTTGCAAATGGCCTATCCATCACTTATAGACCGACAAAAAGTCACTGTAACTAGCTACATAGTGTGGTGTCAAACAGTTGTTGTTTTTGACGCCCCCTAACTTGCTGGGTGTGTAAGTGAGACCTGAGTGGGCCATCCTACATACATCCCGGAATAATACCATTACCGGTCATTTTAACTTACAATGGAGCATCGTGCGTACCGGCATGACAATCCAACGTTATTTTGTTTCTGGGAGATGCCGTTATTCACTCTTACTTCCCCTAGGTAGGCTAGGCCTTCTAACATCGTCCCAGCCATCGTCACCGCATGACACCAGTGTGAAATCACAAAGTCGTCATCCAATGTTGCAGCAACGACCCATGTAGGACAAGTTCAACCTCTTCCAGCTTAGCAGAAGCAGAACCGATATCCTGGAGTTAATTAACACCCAGCTGTTCATTCTCTCAGCAACCATATCCGTACTTCCGATAAACAGCATGTGTAGGACGTACTGATCAACGATTTTCGGATATTTCAAAACTGTCGGCTCATTGTTCAAAGCCTGTTGAGACTGTCTGATGAGTAAACCTTTTAACGTCAGAAGTGATCTCCCAGTTTATATAATGTTAAGGAAACCACCAATCTTCACAAGCTGTTAGTGGTTGGCCAACGGACCCTAGAACATTCATATCTTAAGGCCATTTGCCCCTGAGTGATAATCCGTATGCTCCTATAGTTGATGGTTTAGCTTTAGCTTAGTTTAGTTTAGTTGATTTTAGTTTCGTTTGGTTCATTTCGGTAAGCGGTTTACACAACAAGCTACAGCAATGAAAAAAGTGGGAGTGGTTGATGAATCGAAAAATTTTCGCCGAATTCATTCATAATTCCTATAAGTTTGTCTTCGTGCATTCGGGAGTAAGTTTTTCGTCGGCTTTTGCAACGTTCTTTAAGAAGCTCCTTTCATTATTTTTGGAAATTTTCCCAAAGTGGTGGCCCTATCAATAGTCTTCTTAGCGTAAGGGTGACTTTACTATTCACCGTGCAACTTTTTGTAACTTTTTATGACGGTGGCCGAGCAAAACATGCAATAAAATCTGTGGTCAAAAGCGCTTAGACTCAACCTACATTGATTGGCCGCATTTTATAACCAGTATTGAGCCTGATGACACGCTACCTGTCAGTTGCGGAAGACTGAAGAGTGGCTCCGTTCCCCCGAATTGCATTTGGCTACGAACAGAGTATTCGTCAACAAGATAGTTAGCACATTTATTTTCAAGAGTAAACATGTGTCTGTGCAACCCATAAAAAGTAAGCAAACTCTATTAAATTGTTTCACCGTCTGCTATCTAAAAAACAAATATAATAATGAACATTGGGGTCGGTTCTCTTAGACAAAGAGTAATATGTCTGAAACAAGTTGAGCAAGGATTGATCCGCTAATTAAGTTACCTATACGTTGTATATAAGTCCCTGATACGGCGGTAACGCAAAGCCAGTTTCCTCATCCAGTCCATCCCTCCTCGCAGGACTGCGATGTTCCCGCCTGTGCCGATACCGTGCCCCATAACCGCTGCAACACCAAGCGAATCAACGGTCGTCGGCTGCTTGGGATCGCCGACGATATTGGGTACCGTGTCAGATGTAGAGCCGTAGGGAAGAAAGGCACCCAACGCAGTAGTATTAGGTGATGTTGAATTGGCTGGAGTGGGTTGTAGAGCTGATCCAGACACCCCCATCGTTGATGAGTATTCATCAACCGGGAAACAGCTATGAAAAAGTAAGTTTCCAGACAAAAGAATAAAAGATTAAGCTAAACGGAATCTAAATGAGTTCAGTCCCGTTAAGCCATAATCTTCACTAGTAAATATTTGATATACAGTTTCCTTCAACGGTCTAAAAGGATTATAAATAAAAGTGTTAACCAAGGACAGCTTTTTCCTCCTGAATGTTGTCCAGCCGCCATTCACCTCTCAAACAAAAGGTCTATCGGTCAATAGAACACGAAATGTAACATAGTACAATGATGAACTAACCTAATAATACTACGGGAAATCATAATGTCGAGGGGAACTAATGTCTTATTGTTGTCTTGAATGGAAACCACTACCACTGTCATGGTTTTTGAGCACAGGAATTTGGCTGCACACAAACATCGACCAAGTACTGATCCGTTTTCAGCTTCCTTTTCCGGTAGAGGAATGAAGTGACTAGAAAATAAAAGGTGCCTGTTTGCGTTGGACCTATCCTAGAGCGGCTGTATTTAGTTGAATGTCAGCCACTAGTAGCACCTTGAGGCTGATAGGAAGAAATTCAGGAGAGCAGTTTATCTTCAGTATGTCCAAGATAGATTTTCTGTATGTATTTACCCTAATTTTTCCACATCAAACCTCGTAAATTTCCATGCGAGATGGTGATTTGAAAAGGGACGAGTAATGAAGTAGCCCAACGCACGGCTAAGCAGTACTGAGCGCCTACAATTTGTTCAAACAGTAGAAAATTTTAAATGGTTCCAGTTATTCCATTAGATGCGAACCTTGAAGCGGCAGACTGTAGCAAATTCGCTATGACAAATCATTCTCTAAACGTGAGTGTCAGGCTTGCTGGAAGGCCTCTGTTGCTCCATTAAAGGAAATACTCTGATTTTAATTTGGTTTAAAGTCAACGAACAGGCACAGCGCCTTCTTAGAATATGATATGTTCCGAAATGAAGATGAAGCAATTTTGAAATTGCTGAACTTGGATACAAATCATTCCCTGTTGAACACTGTCTCTGTTGGTTGTTGGTCAAACAGAGTAATAATCAGACGGTCATACTATCAATTTGAGTTCCCCATAAGGCTTATCTTGTCGTATGTATATCTCACATTTTTTACACAGCAGGGCTAAGCAGCATTGTGTTCCTATTTGGTTCCAAAGAAAGCTAAAATGTGATGGTTCCCTGCCTACCTGTGAAATCCCGGTTGAGTATGGCTGTGTAAACACCACTGTCCTTAATAGACAGGTTTTCATTGTTGATCGATCTGCCGCTGCAAAGATGTTTCTCGTGATCAGAAGGATAAACAAATGTAGACATGCGCAAATGCACAGCCATAGAACACTACGTGAATCGTTGGCCCACTGCAGTCACCATCAGCTTGACTAACAAAGGCGAAAAACGAAACCGGATCAAATTACTCTCACGGCGCAGAGAATGTTTTCTTGACCAGTGGGCGCGAGAATGTGCACCTGTGTGTATGAGTGTGTGCCTACACATGCTCACCTAGTGTCGTGCCACACCAAGGCAAGACAACAACCAGCGAAATTCGCAGCGCCTCGTGAAAGAAAGTGTAAGCGAGAATATAATGTCTGCGGGATTAGAGTTCAGGTTAGTGTTATGGTGAATGTTTGTGCTTACGTTCCTATCGTTTTTAGCACTGGTGCGGTACAGTATTTTTACACTGGGTCACTAGATTTACGCGACGAGTTTCAAGTATCACAGGCCTAATTATTACCAGATCCTCCTGGAGGATAATAACAGAAGTCGGGAATGATGACCTGACCTTTGTTAAGCGGTAGAATTTCTCCACTTATTTGTCGGATAGACTGAACCTGTGAATCACTAATTTTCACGCTTCATTTGACGCTCTCCCGGTGACAATCGGGATACTAGTGAAAGGAAGAAGGCCTTGACTGCGGAGTAACCAGTGTAATGCTTGCTCCTCCTTACACTTGTCAGGGAACTGACTGTCCTCTGAAGAAGAAGAAAAATGCTGACAATCGCTTCAACCTTTACCCACTGAGACTGCCCAGATTGCTTCCCATCATCAACATCATCATCATCATCATCATCATCATCATCATCAGTCCTCATCGCGGAAAGCACGATAGTGTTTAGCGCCAACGCTGCACTGTCGTACAATCGCTGTGATGTATGTATTACTGTCTCTCACCAACCCAGATTCTTAGCTAACCTTCGCAAAATTCTGCTCACTAATTTGGACGTCATCCAAGTTTCATCTGATAGGTCGGACAAATTCGTGCTGCAGCATTTAACACCACTCTGCTGAAGCAAACTGGATCGGCTCCAAGCCATTGCTTGTCTTGTGTATCTGTGAAATGCATCACAAAAGATTTCAACATTTTCACCTAAGACGAATTCCCCTGCATTGTTCGAGCAATTTACAGCCTGTGCCCATTTAACCGTCAATTTCACTTCGCCTAGACATTATTTCATAGCAGTGTTCCTCAAGGGGGAAACAGGACTACATCGAATTTCGTGACCATTTGTGAATAACGAGAGGGCGATTCGATTTGTGCTGCTAGCCTTAGCCAGTGCAGATTTGTTGAGTGGAAATGTTTACGAAGCTTGTTTTCACAGCGTAGCCTTGATAAGCGCTTTGGAAAGTCCTGTACAATAGGTGGTTAAACTGATCAACGACTCTCTCTTGGTTCTTACATTACTTTCATTTACTCCGATAAATCTGCTAATGTGTCGTAAGCGTTTCACTTGGTGTGCTAGTATGATTACCCATGAATCAGTGGCTCTTGAAATCAATCTTCCTGTTCACTGTATTCATCGCTGGGTTGATTGGGTAGTATAACAAAATAACTATTAGTTTTAGAGAAAGATTGATAGGTACTCTCGTATTTTTGGATGCTTAAGATTCCAAACCGACTCAAATGTTTCAAGAGGATATCAGCATCTAGAAAAAGAGAAAAAAATTTAAAACAGTTACGAGTAGAAGTGACGGTCTATATCCTTTCTAGGTAAGCATTACCAGTCACTATTTGAAATATCAGGATTCTAATTTTCAATCTAACTATCTAAATATCTAACTATCTATCTATCTATCTATCTATCTAACTACCTATCTATCTATCTATCTATCTA